TTCATTTGGTATAAAATTCATTACATCCCCTATTTGAAATTATTGCGTTACCCTCCGGGCAAAATATCATTTCCAACCTTGCACACTCTATAATGACAAGTCATATAATTATCTTTGTAAGTCTTTATCGTCTCTTTTTTGCTTCATATATTAGCATTATAAATAATCTCGAGTGAGTTTATGCTGATCTCTTCAATAATAGAAGCTTTCATATATTTTTAATTATAACTTGAATTCTAGTGAGATATAATTTTTGTCATCTCTTTTTCTTATCTCATCATCAGGTTCTGTGGACTTTTTTGAATAACTCTTTTTTTCTTTGCAGGTTATTGAGTCGATTCTTTTCTTTTCTTAGATTACGATTAGTTCACAAATATAGATATAATAGTCTTATCATGATCATTGTTTCTTATTATAGAAAACAATTAGAAATGTCATTACGGTATTAGGAAAAGATTTTTCCGTTATATGTAGAAGAGAATGAAAATTAGAGGCCTAGGAGATACACGCGAATTCATATGAGTATTTTTTTTTATTTTTTGACAAATTATTCTAAAATAAGGTTCTTTTGACTTGTTTCATGTCAAACTTAATAACTTATCGAATAATGATTTATATATTCTCAAAATGAAGATATATCATATGAAAAACAATTTTTTCTTTTCTAAATATGACAATTTTTTTATTTATATGAAGTAATATATTATTTATGTTTCAGTCATTTTATTTGAATAGATCAATACAAGTGGATTAAGAATGAGTGAAAATTTAGCCAATAGTCCACAAAGTGTAGGTAAAAATGGATTACGTTGAATGAATGTATTTTGTCCAATGACATTTAATATTTCGACTAATGTATATGGAGTCCATGTAATAAGATATTGAGCTGCTATTATAAATGTTATGAATGCATAATGTCGATCTATTTTTAATCTTTGCAAACGATTTGTTGTTTCTTTTAATTGTACATCTATTAAGCATTTAGTTAAATCAATTTCCGATGATCTTCTATCAGTTGTATCAGAAGTTTTTGATAATGGTATATATTTTGAATTTCCAGATGACTTTAATAAATGATGAAGAGTAAAACAAACACGAAGATTTGAATAAACAAGAAGTATTAATGGTATGAAATAATTAAACAAGACTACAGATGTTAAATAAATACGTGAATAAATTGATGGATCTTTCCAATCTAAACTACAATAAAAACCAACACCTTCACGAATATATTTATTTCCAATACCAAAAACAGGTGGTAAGGTCCAACAAATAGCTAATAATGCACAACATAATACATTTAAACCCGAATGTTGTTCTAATAATTGATTAAGCCAACTTGTTTTATGAAGAACACTTAAATATCGAGAAAAAGATAATAATGCCACAATATACCTTTAAATAAATAAAAAAGAATATATAATTTCTATTTATTTAATTATTTATAACTTACATATTAAAAAGTCCAGTAGAAAAACATACAAAACCATGTATTTTACAAAGAATTTTATATGATAAATAAGATTGACAAGTAAAACATTGAATAATAACTACTGGAACAATAGTCAATATAATTAAAGTTGAACTAAATAACATTCCAATTATTATTGGTGTTGTACGATTAATAGTAAAATATTTTCTTTTATTAGAATATTGATTAATAAAATAGCGAGAACAAATATATATATTGAAGAAAGAAGCAATAAATAAAAGAAAACCAAGAAAACGATAAAGACTACAATGAGTTGTTGTTATTACAACACTATTCGATGATATATTCATTTTGTAATAATATCAATAGAATTGATAATCACCTTGAAGGATATTTGTATCTTGTGTCGAGAAAAGACTATGATATTTTGGATGAGACAAACATTATTATATAGAAAAAAAAAAAGATAGAAGCTTTTTTTTCTCACATTTATTTTTCTCTCTGTGGTGAATTGAGTAAAAACAAGATCATAGAAGTAATAAGAAATTATTTACGTTTCGTTTTTTCAATTGTTTGACATCTATTTAAAGAAAATGCTTCTGAATCAAATCGACAACATCATCAACTAAATTGATATTTTTTTTTTCTTTTCTTTGATTATCTTTTATCAAATGCTCACACTTGAACTTAAAATACACTTTAATAAACGAGGTTTATCATATTTCAATAGACTATGTTTATTTATAAGTAACATTACAATTTATAACTTGTTTTTAATTGTGTAAACGTTGTCTTTTTTTACATTTAATTAAGTTATTTTTGAAATAAACGTTAAAATTTTTTTTTTTTTCATGATGAAAAAAGATAAAAGAGGAGAGCGGATAAGGTCTAATCTTTTGAACTGCTTCAGGACTAATTTGTTTCTATTAGGTGTGAATATGGGATGACTCCTGATTATTTATTTTAGGCCTATTTTGAAAAAAATGACGTCATCAATTTTGGTTCCTGAGGTCTCTCTCAGATATCGTCGAAAAACAAATTTCGCTTTTCATCAATCAAAGCTAGATATTCCTATACATTAAAGTGTGCTGATTATGAATGTTATAATAAAACCTCTAAAAACTCCCTTGTTTGCTATATAGTCTGGATCACAGACTAGACTCTATTTTTCAACTTTGGATCCCTTGTAAAAGAACCTTTCTTCAAACTTTAGTGGAAAATGGTCATTTTTTTTTCTGTAAATAAGTATTTATCTTTCTACTTTGTCATGAAAGAAGTTTAGCTGCAATATTAAACTTTTACCAGGAGGGTAGTTTTTCATGCTCTATCGATTGATAATATTAAAAATAAGAAAAAAGTTGGGCAACACTGTCAAAAATTAAAAATACTAAAAAATTTTTAAAAAAAGCTGTCGAGAACCACAGACACCAGTATACATGACATCTTGTAATCAGTTAATATATAGCACATCATATAGAGTCTAATAAACTATGGATGCAAAAAAAAATATCATTGGTTTCCACAGTTTCTTCCGACCCAAAATTCGCTTAAAAAAACTTTATGGATGATAGCACCGCAGTGAGATTCCACATAAGTCTACGAGACGAAAGAAACTGTGAAGGTCAATGAAGTTTTTCCTGTATTCATAACTCATTAGGCTCTGCAAGATGTGATATACATTAACTGATTACAAGATGTCATGTACACTGATGTCTGCAGTTTCCCACAGCTTTTTTTAAAAATTCTTTAGTATTTTTAATTTTTGACAATGTTACCCAACTTTTTTCTTATTTTTAATATTATCAATCGATAGAGCATGAAAAACTACCCTCCTGGTAAAAGTTTGACGTTGTAGCTAAACTCCTTTCATGACAGAGTAGGGAGATAAACAGTTATTTGCAGAAAAAAAGGATCATTGTCTACTCCGAAATCGTAGTTTTTATTTGAGAGTAACTTTTTTTTTCGCCGTAAAAATTTCAGAATCGTATAGAGCACAAAATTTTGAGTTAGAAAAAACGTTTTCTACTAAAGTTTGAAGAAAGATTCTTTTACAAGGGATCTAAAATAGAAAAATAGGGCCTAAATTGTGATCCAGACTACATAGAGAACAAGGGAGTTTTTAGAGATTTTATTATAACATTCATAATCAGCACACTTTAATGTATAGGAATATCGAGCTTTGATTGATGAAAAGCGAAATTTGTTTTTAACGATACCTGAGGGAGACCTCAGAGACGAAAAATGATGATGTCATTTTTTTTGCAAAATAAACCTGAAATAAATAATCAAGAGTCACCCCATATTCACACCTAATAGAAATAAATTAGTTCTGAAGCAGTTTAAAAGATTTGGCCTTATCCGTCGTTCTTCTTTCAATTTTTTTTTTGCCATTTGTTAAGTAACTATTAGAAATTCAGATATTATTCTAATGGAGTCAAAATTCCATTGTTTTCATATAACTAATATATACATGATAAGAAATTGTTGATATTTGAGAAAATATCGATACTATTGACAAAGGCAAGTACAAATAATGGAGAAATATTCCAAGAAGGTCAATATTCAATGCACTTAAAACTAGAAGAAAATGTGAAATTCTTCTATATATGAAAGAAATCATATCTCTAATTGTCTATTCGAACTATTATAATAATTAAAAATTTTATCAAATATTTCCTTGACAATTGGCGCATAAAGTTTTATTCCATGCATAATATTTTCATGCAACAATATACATATATATTATTCTATCGATGTTGTATATCCTGTTGATTAGTAATCATTAAATTCTATTTAATCAGATATTTTCGTGATAGATTTTGCTTTATGAAAAAAAAAACACAAAATTCATTTGTCCATATTTCCTAGAACAAGGTTCAAAGAGTATAAATCTACAATATTAATACTGAACCAGTGAATATGTTATTAAATATAGAACAGGTCATTTTTGTTTGCTATAACAATGGTGATCACAAGAAAAGCATCGGAAAGAATAATAACAGAGTTAAATGACTTATTAAACAGAAACATGATAGTTTATGAGATAATTCTATCTGATAATGTATTATTATTGTCTGCTTTTTAAAATAGAAAATAATAATAAATACATCATTATATTTGTCAATTACATTTAACATTTTGTTTTTTTTCATTGTTTCATCAAAGACATGGTAAATTTATATTTCTACACATCATTATGTAATCAGTGATACAAACTAAACAATACCACTGCAAGGATCTAGGATAATGTCGATAATGTATAGGTAAAATTCATCTTTAGACATTCAATTCAAATGATCTTAACTCTTCATTTGACGTTAGGTTGAGCTGAAGAAATTTATTTTGTTATGACAAGTATATAGAATATGTTCGTATGGATAAAGACACGAACCTCGCCTACATCATCATTAGTCGCCGTTGTTTCCTATTTCTTATCTTTCTTTATTAATCACTAAAGGTTCTTGCTTGAAGTTCAAGGTGAAAAGAATCTTGGCGTGTTGATTAAAAAGAACATAAGAAGCTGAAAAAAATTACAGAACATCTAAAAGTTCTTATCTGATTCTCAAGACAAATAGCACGAAAGTATCGAAATTTTTTATAAAAATAAAAGTAGAATGCTTCTTGGATCTTCTATAAATTGAATGCAATTCGATGAAGGAACATCATCAGGATAGCTGAAACATCTCATTTCTTTCTATCATATAAAACTATTTCTAAAAAGCTTCTAATATAGATACCTGAAAACTGTCTTTAGACGTTTTGACTTTTCATAGAGCCTTATCCAAGCAGTTTTTTTAGTACTTTTGAGTCTACAAATATCAAAAGAAAAATTTTTCAGCTAATCAAATGTTTTTTCAGATTCTTTCTAGCTATTACCATTGGAAAGAAAACTCTAAAATACAACTGCTCTAAGTAATACGACCGATTACGACTCATATACAACCGTCATCGATAAAATTATGGTATCGTTCATGGCAGTGATGATGAAAATGCATATAAGTGTATCAATCAACATGGACTGTTCAGGTAAGAATTCAAGAACACAAAAATTTGAAAAAAAAATAAATTCCTTTTGTACCTTATAAAAAACAAAATAAAACATGAAAATTTAAAGGCATCGATTTTTTCATGCTATATCAAAGACTCTGTTAGAGCTCGCTTATCTCATTACTTTATCAAATAACACATAATAATTATTGTGGAAAATTATATTTTCCTCCATTTTTTGTGCCTAGGATTTTCCAAAACCCTTACGAACCCCCTCAAAAAAGTCAATTTTGGTGAATCTTCCACAGAAGAAAATAACGTTTTTTTTTCAGAATAGAGTTTTTTGATTTTTACATTTCCATGCGTTTCAAATTTCTCTGCCGTTTTTAAACACTAGAAAACTACACTTGACGTCAAAATGAAGGCGAAAATTAGCTGTAGGATTTGAGTTTGACAAAGGAGTTTTCTAAAAACAGATAAGCTAAGAGAAAATCGAAAAATCGGATCACTGTTAAGTTGTAGCGTCACATCTTAGTTACATTTTAAAATCAGCTTGAACTTTCTAGCATTTGAAATGGCGGAGAAATTTGGGACGCATGGAAACCTAAATATTGACCTATAATCTTACAGACTCAATGTATCGAGCTGAAATTTTTACTATGAGGTGCCTAACTCGAGATATACCCTTACTGGAAATTTCATTTTTGAAGAGCTAGAATAGTTTTTTTTTTAACTAAAAAGTTGATCATTCGCTACAATATATTGGACACTATTCGAATCGCAAAAATTCGTCCTTTCATTTTCTACTAAACAAAAACAAATCTCGAAAAGACGAAATTTCGAAAAATTAATTTTCAAAACTATGTAAGTTGGAATATATTGCTTAATATTTGATTGATATTGTAATTATTTGTGATTTTTACCATTGAACGACTGTTAACCAAAACAAAAACATCGAGAGATTCAGATTGATTTTCAACTTATTTATCTGATTCCTTATAATCTATCTTCTTCTTCTAATATATAAAGAAGAAAGTTTGTTTATTTGTCCTTTATGTATTTGAACTTCGTAGGAGCTGGTGCAATCAAATTTTACATGAACTCTTCTTTCATGTAGGAGAAGGTCGAGAGCTATTCCTTTTTCAGAAAGCATGGGTCTTCCGCCCAAAAAAGGTTCGTCTGTATATTCAACCAATTGGATTCCAGCATTCATTAGTATAGGAGAACTACTTAACAGTACTCGGTGATCAAATAGAACACAAGTCACCATAGGTTTTCGAGGGTGGTAAGTCTGAATCTGAGTCCATTTGCCTGAAATCCTATTAGTTGATTGGAAATCAATAAGAATTGAGCCGCTAAGAAAATAGCTGATGAAAATTGCGTTTTCGTGAAAACAGTCACCTATGGGTTTCTACAGGTGGCGAGTTTGAATTCGATGTCCATTCGCCTTGAAATTCTATGAGTTAGCCGAAAACCAATAGCAATAGAGTTTTCTGAGCACTGAAATCAATAAAAATCGAGCTTTGGGGAAAAGAAATCTCACTGGATCATCAGAGGAAAGACATTAGGAAATTGAAGTCTATTGAGCTTCAAATCCTACTGGATCGCATGTGACTCTAATGCGTCATCTATGTCAAACACAGATCGAGTTTTAAGGAAATTGGTTTCTCGAAGGTTGTCTGAGGCGGGAATTTCGCATAAACAGTTTTTCAGGTTCAAAAGTCTGTGCGTCAGTCACTAGTTCATAGAAATCAACTTCTTACGTTGCTGAAAAAAAGGCTCTAACGCACAAAAATCTTTCTGTCTGTCTGTATTTAGAACTAATCAGAATTCAGTATGATTCTCGCAGTATGAAGTAAGATTTATCGTCATAATTCTCTTGATCAATATGGATTGTGAACAGAGGTTCTAGACCGATTAGATGTATCGTTGTGCTTTCTTCTGATCAAAATGCATTTATTTTACAAGGTTGTCTACGAATCGATTTCTCAGCTGGGCTCTTCGTTGATAACGTTTTTCTACATCTTCTCGACCCCAATAGGTGTTTTACATGTATACATTATGGTTGAACTTTCCCGAGCAACGCCGGATACTTCTGCTAGTTTATTAATTAAAAAAAAAAAGTTTTCAACGAGAATAAATGTTTGCATAAGCAAGATTAAAAAGATGTATTGTTTATAAACAATCGACTGCTGCATTTTGTTCTTTGACTATTTTGAGTTGTCCATGAAGAAAATCTCGAACTTTAAGTGTTATATCTGGATCCTCAATAGCCGATTCATATAATTTAGTAAGAACATTTTCTCCACGATGAACTTCAGAAACAATTGCTGCTTTATCTCGACCATCAGTAAACCAAGATTTAACATCGATCCATGTACGATGAGCAGCTGCTAAAGCTGAACCAGATGTTACTCTAAAATATTAATTCAACAGATCGAAAATATAAATTCAAAAAAAAAAAAGAATAAAATAACGTACGGTTCAACACCTAAATCAACTCGAACAACATTTGATAACTGAGAAATAAGATCAGCTCGACTAGCTGCAGTCTTATCACAAAGTAATTTCATTGTTGTATCTTTAGTATCAACACCACATTGTTTGTAGCCATTAAACGAATCATGTAAGGCTTCTAAAACTAATTGACATTTTTCAGCTGCTTTTCGACGAACAGCTGCTGCATCATCGGAAACTGTTTGCGAAGCGATAACTCCTGTAGCAGTATTAGACGACATATTTTGTTTTATTAGTAACACGTAGTAGAGGTTAACGAGTATGAAATGAGTATGTTTGTGTGCACAGTAAGCATATTTATACACTATATTTTTTCTGTATACTAAAATTCAGCGAATCAACAAATGAACGAGCTTTTTCTTCGGATAGATGTCGCATGATAATGATATGACAAATTGAAACTTGGTATGATTTTCTAGAAAGAATATTTAAAATAATAAGATTTTTCAGCTACATAACAAACGAAACTGTATTGTACTTTGCGACATAAGATTTAATTATTTTGTATGAAAAAGAAACTATATAATGATTATTTTTGAGTTTAGATCTTGACAATAAATAACATTAAAATATTATTTTGATTATAATTAAATCGAGAAGTAATCTGGAAAAATAAATCTATTTGAACAAATGTCATTTCGATTACAAACTTCAATCATTTTGAAATTTTTTATGCTAGTCACTTTTAAATTTTAAGGATATCTTCTTTTTCTTCCAGACACTACGATCGATTGAACTGAAATTTTTTCGTGTGACAACTAGAACTAAATCAGAATGTGTATATTTTTTTGTTTTCTTAAAATAATGTTTGAGTAATTTTTTATCTATTGATTTGTTCAATAGTTGATTTAAATGATGATATTTTATTTCGAATCTATCAAATCGATGACAGACAATGAAATTTATTTAACAATATATTTTCAATACAAAAAAAAGAAAAAAAAGAATTGCACTTTGATTTATTTAGTTAGATAAATTTTTTTTTTTTTTTTTGATTAATTAATTGTCAATGAAAAAAAAAAACAAATAATATTATCATTCTAGAAATCAATTATGTCTGACTGATAAATAATTTAAAACTGTAATGTCACTGTTCTCGATTCTCGAAATATAGTCGGTACAAGATCAGCTAATTGAAAAAATGTTTGATCAAGTAAATTCTAAAAATATAATTTTTTTAATAGAATAAAAATTCAACTAAACCATACTTTAGGTACAACAAATTGAATAGTTGAACATCGATTAGTACCCCATGTTCCCATTTCCATCATAAAACCTTTAAGACATTTTAATACTAATTCAGTTCGTTTCATAACCCAAGGAATAGTCATTTCCTATATATTTTAATTCAATATTTTATTATGAAAAAAAAACAAAATTGATAATTAATATTTACTTCTGTCATATCATGTGTAAGTAATAATGGTAATGTTAATGTTGTTATATCATGTTTACAACATTCTTTTAAAATATTTCGTAAACCAAATAGTGCAGCATGACGTGAAGTTATTTCTGATGATGAACGTAAAGCACTATCATTAACTACCAAATGATAAACAACATGTACTTCAGATAAATTCGAATGACGTGTTACATAAAAATCACCCACTGAACATAAATTTTGTTCCTAGAAAGAAAATTTATATCTAATAACAAAAGAATTAGATCGGCAGATAGAGCTCGTCGGACTGAGCCCTGTCCGACTCTGAGAAAAAGAGTCCATTATAAATTGAACTGTTGAGAGTGTGTTTCTAGGCGATTATCAGGTGCGAATTAAAAAAAAAGTTTCATTAAATATCAAGAGTATAATTCGGCGCCGGGTTCGAATCCAAAATAATGGGTGCGGCAAAATAAATGGCCCTCTCAGTATTTTAATTATAACTTTTTTGCTTTTTGTCCTTTAGA